AAAATGATATCGTCTCACAAATTTTGTCTTCTTAATGTCTTATGTGGAGTTATAACTATTGTATAGAATGGTTACTAGCTGACGTTGTCTCATAAGTGAAGACACTTTGACCAATTAATTCATCAACTTAAAGTTAACGTTATGCTATTGAGGTTTACAAAAATGTGTCCAAATACTAGTTCACTCATCTCTATATATTATGTATATGTGGAATGACTTAGTGGGATGTGTCATACAGTCTGCTAATTCATATGATTCATTTTTTCAAGTGACCTTTAAGTATTTGCATTTAGGATGAGAATGTCCTGAACCTAGGTTAAGCCTATCCTAGGAGTGAATTAGGCTAAGATAGATGTTTACTAACAGACACTGTTTACTAACCAAATGCCTCATATGTAATATAATCTTTTTATAAGTTCCAGTGTGTGTGTATGGGTGTACGTCTATGTGCACACACACGCTCATAATTTCAGTTTGTATCATGGTAAAAGTACAGTTCTATGTAAGTGTTTTGGTTTAGGCTAACAATGTACCATCACAAATCATACAATATTGACAAGATTGAAACTAAAAAAAAGAAGTCGACTCGTATGTAAGATATAAAAACTAACTAGACTAAATGTGTGCTAATCACATGTGACTCATAAATTGGAACATACTTTTTTCTTATTGGTATATATTTAGCTTTTTCTGGTGATGTCCAGAAACTAGTACATACTGAGTATTTGCAATTTAAGGCTAATAATACACGATTGATCTATCAACTCACGGTGCAGTGTCATGGGTACAATTTTGTTAAAGATATTAGTGATTACACTTATTATGAGTAATGGATAAGGATCATTGATGGCTTTATATATATATATATCATTGCTAACATATCAATGTAAAAGTTTCTTGAAAAGATTACTGAGGGAATAATCTTCTTTCCAATTAGTCTAAGTACCCTTTATATAAAAACCATCATGAAACCGCATTCATCATTTGTGTAGTATTGTAGAGGGAAGTTTATTCCAAGTGGTTGTTTAACTGTACTCACACAAACAGCTTATCACTCATCAATCACTTATTAACTTCATAAAATGATAGAACCGTTTCTCTTCAATATTCATCTACAGACTTCAGGATATGTTGTTAATTATGATTGACTTTACTTTTTATTATTATCATTGTTATTATTATTACTTTGCTGGGTTCCAAGTGGGACATACGATTTCTAAAAAACACCCACATTTCACCCCGTTCCCCTCAAGGATCTTTAGCTGGATTCACGATTCCCCATAAGCTCTCAATCCAGCCTCACACGATCTCCTCCATATCATCCTCGAACGCCCGACTCGACCTTTCACATTCAGCTGTCAATCTACTGGCTGAAGCGTGATGTCACTCCACGATCTTCTCAGAGTGAGTCCAATACATTCTCATTTCCTTATGCATATTTGTTGCGAGATGGAACTTCGCAACACTAATTATATTCAAATCATTTTGTTTGTCTTAATTTGATGACAGCGTTTACATGCTCAAGACAATATCACCTTACGAACATGGTTTTGACAAATTCCTTCCGTCTTTAAATCTGAAAAGTGGAGTTATATTCTTCATGTTTGTACTAATGAGATGCACATTTTTTTCCAGAAATCAACTCTTTCTTCTCTAAAGCATATCATAGCAACTAGCCAAAAGGTTTATGTTAATACAGCTTTTGGATCCACAAGCTAAACGTGTGCTTATTGAAGCCATAACTATTAAAAAGCTTAACACGACCATATATATATATATATATATATATATATAACTACATTTTCTTCTCTGATCTCTTCGGACCCCATTTTGCTGTATGTTAGTTTCTCACTTTGGTCGCATGTAGATTACGTCTTTTAATTGTCCTCTTAGGACTCAGGAAGGAAAGCCAGTTCCTTCAGAACGAGCTTTGCATCCCTGAAAGTGTACATACACCGAAACATCTCACTAGCTGACTACCTTCATCACGAAATAATTCCAGATAGTATTGAAAATAAATCAGAATAGAGAATATTTTTCTATCAAGGACACAGTGTCGGTGGCATAACGGTTAGGACGCTCGCCGACCATCCACATGGTCCGGGGTTCGACCCCCGGCCGGCGCACTCCTTTACCTCACTGAGCCAGAAATAATACCGGTAAAGAGGAAAGGTTGGGCATGAGGCTAGCAACCCCATCCTGTAAAAATAAAATAAACACTGCTAAAGAAACTTCAAGCCACTAGCTTGAAGCCCTACCCTATGTTCCACTGGGAACGTGAAGGAAACATTATTATTATTATTATAAGGACACGGTAAGGCGTTACGATAGTACCCAAAGTTACACATAAAGTGTTTCGTGTAATCTAGCAGGAAAAGAAAAACTAATGATTAATATTATAAAACGAACCGTATTGAAATCCCTCTGACTGTGTTACATTCGTAACCTCGACAATACATATTTTACTGATCACTGTATTATTGTGCAGAGAGGGAAACACGGTTTCAATCCTATATTGTCATTTCAAGCATGTTCTCTGATGTCCTTTCCGGCTGGCTGTGCTATTGCTCACAAGCTGACATCTCCTCTTCAGACCATCTAATCTGTATCGCCGTCGGACGCCCCACTCGTCATTTCGCATTAGAGTTCATTAGATGACCTGGTACACAATACTACCCAACGGTCTCTTTAGTGTGTGTCCATCACATCTCCATTTTCTTCAGCATATTTGTTGGGCAATAGGTTCTTGACTGGATCGTCCCAGAGTTTCTTTTTTCTATTTCTACATATTTTACTCAACTAAGTCATGATCAAACAAAGCTTAAATTAATGGTAGATGTAGCGTCCAACGAATAACAAGCATGACTGATGATTTATTATATTAAATCACTGCTTACAATTCACTTTTAATAATAACCTGATCAAATCAACAAAAGCGATATGTCAGTAAGTTAGATGACGTAATGTAATTGACTAAAATGTTTCAACTAAAGTCAGTATAGCAACAGAGGTAATTACAGGTAGAGACTAAGTGGACGTGGGGTAGGGAATAATGCCATTTAAATTATGACTAGAGTTGAGGAAATAAATTGGATGACGTAACATAAATGACTAAAAATTGAGCGTTGATCAAATCAGTATCAGTGGTAGTGAGGTGTAGAAATTAAATCGGGTGGGGGTAGAGAACAGGAAAGTTGGAAATGTAAAATATTATGACAATTGTAAAGACAAGATAATACTAATGAAGAGACAAAAAGAAATAGAATTTACCTGTCGGATATTAAAACGGATCGCGTCCATTGCAAGTGTAGTGATTGAACAAACCTCTTATGTAAGCGGATTTCGCTATCCAAACATATCACCGAACACTTACCAGCATGGTTTTACAAACGAGAAAAGCGATGCCCCCACAGCTCTATCTTAGAACAACTGATAGATTCCGGAGACCAAGCTACACCCCAAACAAACTTCGAAGTCGTCTATAGAATACGAAGCAGTCTTCCTAAAAGTGTACGAGTCATACTTCTGCAAACTACAGAATCAATGACAACTCAATTGCTAAGTCATGAACTCTGCTTACATAAGAGGTTTGTTCAATCACTACACTTGCAATGGACGCGATCCGTCTTAATATCCGACAGGTAAATTCTATTTCTTTTTGTCTCTTCATTAGTATTATCTTGTCTTTACAATTGTCATAATATTTTACATTTCCAACTTTCCTGTTCTCTACCCCCACCCGATTTAATTTCTACACCTCACTACCACTGATACTGATTTGATCAACGCTCAATTTTTAGTCATTTATGTTACGTCATCCAATTTATTTCCTCAACTCTAGTCATAATTTAAATGGCATTATTCCCTACCCCACGTCCACTTAGTCTCTACCTGTAATTACCTCTGTTGCTATACTGACTTTAGTTGAAACATTTTAGTCAATTACATTACGTCATCTAACTTACTGACTCAATCGTACTTTAGCTGCTGTCTAATTAACCTTGTTGTTATATTAGATCATTCTTCTATTGCCTGATTAATTATCTAAACTTGACGAACCTCATGAACACACATATAAAAATTAAAACTAATATGTGTCAAGTTTTGCTATTTTCTGTTGATCAAATGGAAAAGCATGTGTCAGACATTTAAATAGAGTTACTTAATACTAAAGGTTAACACAAATCATTTAGTACTACATATATTGATCCAGAGTCAGTAGTCTTTCAAGGTATAGTCAATTAGCTACTACGCTATTCATCTGTGTGGAAATCTAACATGAACTAAACAGTCTTACTATTCTTAGACTGTTCATTGATTCCATACGATATCACACTATCACTAGGACTTTTTTCTTTCACCTCAAACCAACCTTCATCGGTCATTTATATACACAAATTGTAGGTTTACGAATAGTAGTAACGAACAGTTACTTCATTTGTTTCCAAAACTTTCCAAAGCTCTATAATCCATGATTTTTCCTCTAAATTAATACACTTACTCAAACCAAATTTCAGTTTTATGAAGATCCGCTGTTAGTTTTTGCAAATATTTCAACTGAATTAGACCCCTTACCAGTCTAGAAAGTTATCTGTTGTCTTTGGAAATACTTCATTTTGAAATACACTTTGTAACGAAATTTTATATTAGCTAACAAACGTTAGCTCAGTAAAGATAAGGATATCAAAGTTCTACTCCACACAAGATTATACTCCATAAATGGATTTCTCTGATAGGTCAGTTTCAATAGTGTGTGTGTGTGTATTTACTACTACTGAACTACAATTAGATATCCAATCAGATTGCAGGTAGGTGAAAAGAACAAATAATAAGTTGATAAGATCCTTTTTTTGCAATCATAAAAAGAGACATAGATTACACCAAGACAACATAAGCGACACATTTATATACAAGGACAAATATAAATGGTATAGACAAAAATATGCGACTAGTTTTTTATCTTGGATTTAAGAAAGCAAAAAAAACGCCCAGATATATAAAAGTAGTCGTGGGACGAATAATCAAAATTATGGCTATAATAGACTTGTATTTATATCGTCCTGAAATGAAGACAACACCACAACTGTTTTGTCATAATTGTGAAAATCCTTTACATCATAGTGAATTACTTTCCAATCCCAGATGGAAAAAGTCAAGTCCAATCAGAGTGTTATCAGAATACCTTTCTAGTGGTAACAGAGAGAGGATAAAAAATTCTAACAAGTGTAACAACCTTGATAATTGTTATCATCATTACCACCGTTATCAATACCATCAATTTCATAATCATGATCATCGAAATGACAATATTAATGATATTAATCTGAAGCATACAGAAAGGATGCATTCGAATCATCGATCGGTATTAGTGAATTCAAATGAATCCTCCTTTCAACCCGTGGATTTACTTACAATTCATCCTGAAAACAAAAACTTTGAGTTAATGAAAATCAAGCGTATTTATGGATTAATCGATTACATGCTGATGAGTAATCATATTTGCTGTAAACACTTTGAATCTGTACAAAAATTCATGAATCAACTGCAAGCCATTGTTAAGCCTACTGAGAAAGACGTTGACAATAAACTGAGGAATTTAATGAATCTTAGTATGCATAAGTTTTCAGAAAAAGTCGTTGCCAAAGGATTGAAACACTTAAGAAATATATGTAAGTGTCCAGAGTGTAATAAAAATTCTCAACTGGGATCGGAAATCAATGAGTTCACTGGTGAAACATCCTATCAATACAATAATCATAATCATAATTCAGTCAAATTCAGGAAATCTGAACCACAAAATTCTAAATCAACAAAAAACAAAATAAAACATCCTTTGGACTACAGAACAACCAGTTTCTGGACTAGTTGTTTGTCTAACACTGAAGTAAGTGATCAAGAGCTAGACAGAGTCGACAGATCGACTTCACGTTCAGTGTGTTCACCCTCTAATTGCACACTCCTACCATCATCATCTTCGTTAGCATCCTATGCATATACTTCATCGTCATCTGTCTCTTCATCTTCTTGCTCCTCTTCATCACTATCACTATCACCAACTTCGTCACCAGTCACATATTCAACCTGTGTATCAGCATCTAGTACTTCATTAAAAGAGAATGAAGAAAATGAAATTCTTACACCAGATTTAATTTGTAACTGTCAAAAAACTCATGAAACCGGCAAATTTATGAAATTGGGCAAATTACTTAAGGAGCGTAAGCAGACAAGTGCCAAAAACGCTGAGGATGTATGCGAGCCGCGTGATGGCTTGGTGGTGAAATGCGTAAGTTTGTAATTATTACTCTTGCTATTTCTTCATCATAACTATCTTTATGTGTTTACAGATGATAATAGATGATTTTGCTGAAGAAAAAATGATTAGGCCACATAATCATGAGTGTATTAAATATGCTGACAGTGTGTGATGTATTGCTCTTTTCTTCAGAAGTGAAGCTATTCATGAATAAATATCACGAAAAGCCTTTTGTCATACATGCCTTATCGTTTAAGCTCTTCTTTCAGAAATTTTTACATCAACAAGATTCACAAATGAAGTATGGCTTCTTTCAAAAGAGGGATTCCTTTTAAAAAGTAAGACCAGACGTTTTTATCACAGCTTCAGGGTAGAAAGTTCTAGTTGGTAATTACTGGACACAGTTAATTTCAACCCATAGTTTCAAACATTATTTTTTATTATTCCTTCCTTGGGTTCCTAGTGGAACATAGAGCTTCAACTCCAAGTCTCCACTTGCTTCTGTCTTCTGCTGTACTCTTCACCTGCATCCATGTTAGCCCATACTCTTTCAACTCCTCAACTCTTCACACGATCTCATCCATGTCACTCTTGGACTGACGTCCCACTCGCCGTTTCCCTTTTGGGTTCCACTCGAGCGATGGTCTGACGCGTGACGTCTCCCAGCGGCGGCCTCCTCAGCGAGTGCCCGATCCATCTCCACTTTCTCCTGCATATTTGTTGGGCGATCGGTTCTTGCCTGTTGCTTTGTTCCCATAGTTTCTCGTTGGTGATTCTTTCCGGACTGGCCATCTGATTGATCTTCAGTATAGAGCCAGCGAAGACAGTTGTTGATAAAGGTCTGGTCTTCAACAGGCTGGCTGTTGGAAATATTCTTTGTGACCCGTCCGCCAACTTTCTCATCCGTATAGAACAACTGACTGACTTGACGCTGTTTGTATTGAAAATCCGACGGAATTTTGTTGTTGATTCTGGCTGAGTGACGAAGATTTCCTTCCAGATTGGTTTCGGTTGATGAGTGAATGTGTTTCTCGCTCGCCTTCCCAATTCTCGCTCGATTTGACATCCTCGTCCGTCCCGAGTGTCTGTAGTTGAGACGATGCTCCCTAGATGAGTGAGTGAGTGAATGAAGTAACCTCTTTCAAATCCGTTCCGTTGATGGTGGTTGGCGCTGGATGTTGTTGTTGTTGTTGGTTGGTTGGTTGGTTATTTTCATAACCTCCGTCTTGTCTATGTTCACCTGGAGTTTTGTATAGTTTCAAACATACTGTTATGCAATTCAGAAATGAAATATTTTAAAGTTTTAAGTGATATGAAGTAGTGTTAGGGTTTGGAGTCTACAGTCTACTCATCTCCCAATAATCATTAAATATCAACGAAGTAATCAATACAGAATAAGATGACGTTGATTATTTGTCTTTGTTCTAGTTGTGTTCTCTGAATGGGATGATTTAATTACAAAACTTTCATTATTCATGCCAACAATATCTTCACCTGATCCACAGATCGTTTCCACCATTGCGACAGTATGACTGTTCACTTACTTGCTGTAAAGTGGGAATAATTTGTTAATAATTCTAATTAAGATTAGTAGCAATGTGATAGATAATTTTAAATGCAGTATTAACATCAACCTTGTTTATGCACACTATCTACAAGGTGTGCTAAAATAGAGCCACGAACAGATCTTGTTTGTCCCTTGCTTAACCATTGTGGATGATGTTCGGAAATACGATGATGAACCTGCCTAATTGTACACCCAATGTAATTCTAATTGTCTATAAACTTAGTCGTTGTTGCTACTTAAGACTGAACAGTGTGAAATAAGACTTACAATTGTATTTTTGGACATCACTAATTTGATATGTAACTCTAGTCGTTGCGTATTCATCGTTAATACATAGTTCAGTCAGTAGTTTCACTTCACAACGGTTGAACAACATCACACACACACACAGTTTCATATTCATTGTTCTTTCAATTTGTGATCATTTATCAGTGTGAGTCACCTCTCTATCTCAACTTCATCGACTTTGAAAAGGCCTTCGACAGCGTCGATCGAGAGGTCATTTGGAAACTACTTCGCTACTACGGGGTCCCATCGACAATTATACACCTCATCCAACAGTTATACGACAATGCTGCATGCCAAGTAATCCACAACGGGAAACTTACGGAAGTCTTCGAAGTGAGGACGGGAGTGAGGCAAGGCTGTCTACTATCACCAATGATCTTCCTGATTGCAATTGATTGGATAATGCGACAGACAACGGCAACCAACGAGGGAACAGGCATAAAATGGACTGACACAAAAGACTTGGAGGATCTGGATTTCGCCGATGATATATGTCTGATTTCCCATAAACTGGAAGATATGCAAGTGAAAAGTAACAAGTTGGCAGAAGAAGCATCAAAGATAGGACTTCACGTGAACATAGATAAAACAGAGATAATGAAGATTCCTAGCCAACATCAACAACACCAACAGACCACAATAAGCATAAATGGGAAGAACCTGAGAGAAACAACCTCCTTCACCTACCTGGGAAGCATCGTCTCAACTACAGGCGGAACTGACGAGGACATCAAAGCCAGAATCGGAAAAGCAAGACAAGCTTTCATTACTCTCAAATCTGTGTGGAGGTCAACAGCAATCAGCATCAAAAATAAGATCCGGATTTTCAACTCCAATGTGAAGTCAGTGCTACTATACGGATCAGAGGCTTGGCGAGTCATAAAGAGCATCTCAAACAAACTTCAAACCTTCATTAACAACTGTCTCCGCTCAATACTCAAGATCAGATGGCCAGAAAAGATCAGAAACAGGGATCTCTGGGAGCGAACTAATCAGGAACCGATTGTGAAACAAATAGGCAGAAAGAAATGGAGATGGATTGGCCATACGCTGAGGAAACCATCAAGTGACATCACTGGACAAACCCTCGAGTGGAACCCGAAAGGGAGGCGGCGAGTTGGTCGTCCAAGGGTGACTTGGAGGAGGTCATGCGAGGAGGAGATGAAAGCATGTGGACAGACCTGGAGCAGGTTGAAAAAGTTGTCAGAAAACCGAAGTCAATGGAGGTGCGCAGCTGAAGCCCTATGTTCCTCTAGGAACTAAAGGATACAATAATAATAATAATCAGTGTGAGTGCAAAGAGATAAAGTTTACTAGAGTGAAGCATTTTTCTTAAGAAAATTAAATAAAACAGCATTTATATGACAGGAAATCAAAGTGTGTACTTAAAATATTGCCAAGTAAAGCGATGAAAGCTTCACAACTAAACCATCCAGCTCCGAGAACACAACTACACCAAAAGTATCCATCTGGGCTACAAATCTCCATCCTAGGAAATCATAAGTAAGAAAACTGTAAAATGGTAGGTCCTAACTTTCTCTTCAAAGCGTACAGTTATTTAAGGGTTTTCATTATATATACATATATATATTAGTTGATTGACAATAAACGTCAGGGGTTGTTATTCTTAAATGCATCACACTGGAAGTTTTTATAAGTTACAACTAATAAAGGCATCATTATTGCATAGAACACCAAGCAAAATCTTTTGAGTATTCCTTTTTCTACTTCAGTCTCTATGTTATATCAAGACAAGATATTGTGAACAAGTTTTTCACTTTGCCTCCTATTCCTACCTGTGTTGTACTGATTGACTGGATCAACATTCAGGCGTCTAGATATGATAGAGAAGATTTGTAGCCCAGGTGGATAATTTTGATGTGGTTTTGTTCTCTGAGCTGGATGGTTAGTTTGCGAAGCTTTCATCGCCCTACTAACCATCCAGCTCAGAGAACAAAACCACATCAAAATTCAGGCGTCTATATTTACTCAGTATTGCCATAATGTGAAAAATAATCGCGAACAAATCCAAAATACTCAACTACATGGCGGTGTTAGAGGAGCAGAAATACTGTGGTATTGTACGACTATACGCGTTTGTCGTGAAAGATAATTTTGCGAATAGTGATCACGATTTCGAATGATCATTATTTATCCTTTTCCAGTAAACAATTCATTTCGTTTGCCTACATCATTTTTTCCTTTCAGGTCTCCGCAACTAAAAGAGACCACAGAAACTATCAGCTCTTTCTTTGCTGTTATAATTCACACTTTTCGGTTTTTTTTTTCGGTATATTCACATTCCGTTGTGACACTAGTGCAAAACAAATTCATCAGTCTAGACAGAAATTTGATAAAAAAAAATATGACTGTCATCAAAGTAAGCACATCAGTGTTTACAATGTATACGTTAGTCAGCATATATATGTATATATAATTAAGTCATTTGTAAGAAATGATAAATGGCACTATAATCTTCATATGTTTGTCTGCTAATTTATCTATCGATTTCGACATTTTCAGCATGTGATTGAGAATGATTGAAAAACCACTCGATATATGAATATTTTCTGCAACGATTTCATTGTTGTATCAAAGTGATTAAGAAATTAACTTATATGAGAATTTTGAATGAATTTGAAAGTAAAACACACGAGATTGGCTGCTTAAGACACAGTTATGCTGGTGATGCCTTTAAATGCCAATGACTTGGTGTACGCTTTTTCGCAAACTGAGTTTGTGATGTTGAGCATCTAAGCTATTGCATATTGTCATTCACTGGCCTATAATAGATTTTTTTCATCAATTTCTGGTTTTTTACGAGTGGTATTAAACCCACTACATCAGAAAATTTCATGTCGAAAAACACTCCCACTGGTACACATATGGACATTTTCTCAAAAACAAGATTACTTCATTCATCCTTCTTACTCCATTCACATCCCTAATATTAGTGTGCAGTGTGATCGATGCATACTTATAAATTAAGTCTTAATAAGTGGCATATATGGTCCAATTTGATGAAGTCATTCTTCTTCCCTATAATAAGTTAACGTTTTTAATACTGTACCTGTATTCTTCACGAATTGAATATATATTTTTGAAAAAGTTATTTAAATATTACAATATTTAGAAATGTTGACGTAAAACAGATAAGGATATTCACTTTCAGACA